TTTTCTAGACTTTTCTATGTGAGCTGCATTTCAGGGTCACCAAATAGTCCTAGCTGACGAGAAAAAGTTCTTCACAGAAGAATCATTACTAATGAGTGTAGTTAGAATAACAGAATCGTAACACAATTTTGTAAGGCACAATGAAATGCAGTAATTAATTCAGTCGACAATCATCCATGGATGAAGCTACTAGATGAAAGTTCGATAGAGCACTTTGCAATTAGGCTGACACCCCCTGAGCCCACTGGCTCATCTTACCATCCCTCAGAGTGGGTCCCCCAGGCCTGCGTGCCTTCTGGCGTGACCCCCTAGGAAGATTACTGGAGCCCAAGACTGCATTTCTAACAAGCTCCCAAGTGATGACCAGGCTGCCATGCCAGTCATCAGCCCACACTTCGAAAATCAAGTCTTTAAAATACCCCAGCAAAGGAAACAGAAAGGAGTGAGATAAATGCAGGAAGGATGGCAAAATCCTCCTGACTGTTGCAAGGATGCTTGCCAAAATAGTTAAACCTGAATTTAGCGAAGGCATTAGCCCTAACTTCCAGGTTTCAGGAAGTATAGGGGGTTGAGGGACAAAACACACACATTGAGAGGAAGCAAATGCACAAATCCTGAATGAAGATGTCCCATAAGAGAAGTGACTGAGCTCTGTCTGCAGTAAAGGAAAGATTTGAAAAAGACTCATAAACCATTAAAAAAAAAGGGTGGGGGTGGCAGGGGCCCCCTCTACACTAAGAGAGGCATCCTAGCGATCACACGGGATGTGCAGACCTTGTCCGACTCTTGATTTGAACACCCTGACTTTTAAAAATAGACATTTTGAGACAGTCAGAAAGAATTGAATATGGACTGGGTATTAGACAATAACAAAGAATTCTGGTTAATTTTGTTCAGTGATGAGAACATGGTGGCTGTGTAAGAAAACATCCCTGTACTGCAGAAATGCATACTGAAGTATTTAAGGGTGAAATGACTTGATATGAGGGATTTACTTTCACATAATGCTTCTGAAACATCAATGTGCAAATGAATCACCCACGTGTCTTCTCAAAATGCAGATTCTGATTCAGCAGTTCAGGGAGTGGGGCTGACATCCCCCAGACCAAATCGTGAGCAGCAAGGCTTTAAAATACTTTGGTAAAGGAAATAAAAAAGGGACAGTGAAATGAAAGCAAGGGCGGCAAGGTCTTGATAGCTGTGTCACCTGGGTGGTACGCATATTGGGTGTATCATTGCCATTTTCCTTACACACTTAAAACTTTGTTTAAAATCACCCTTTTAAAGGCTGGTGGAACAGGTGCCCTGTGAGAGGGCTGTGTCTGCTCTCTCTCAACTCCCCATCCCTTTCCCTGAG